AAGTATTAATATAAATATATTTAGATATTAATATAAATTTATATTTGGTAATTGTTGGTTCTAATAAATATGATAAAATAATAAAGAATCCTCACAAATGAGAATTCCAAAATTGACGCCATGTAAATTTAAATATTATTATAAAATTGTTTTTTTTTTGTATGTAACATACATGCTAATCCAAATCAATGATTCTAATAAATCTGTTAAAATAAAAAAGAATCCTTGATAAATAAGAGTTCCAAAATCGGCTACATATCATTATTTACATAATCTTTGTTTACAAAACCACTATCAACCTAATTAAAGAAAACCAAGAATTTACTAAAACAAACACAAACCAAAAATCAAAAAATTATGCAATTAATGATTTATTTTTTATTTAGATCATTTTATATTATTTTCATTTATAGTAGGTAATTAATGTTTTGGGTGGAAAATGCTCATAAAATGTTCGGGTATGAAAAATTCATATGTTATTAAAAACCTAATTGTAAACAACATTATTAGTTTGATTATTGGGCACACTACAATAAAATGATAAAATTCCCATGGAAATCTATTCCAAAAGAAATTATTCCAACGATAATTCCAACGGATATTTCAATATTATTATTTTCTTTGGAAATTTCCAATGGATTCTAACGATAATTCCAACAAAAATATTCCGTTGGAATGAATTTTCAATTGGAGTTTCCGATGGATTTTGACGATTCCAGCGGTGGATTTTTCAACGGGGTGGAAATAAAAATTCAAACGGAATTTGCATATTCCAACGGAAATTCCTATGGTAAAAAAACATTAGAAATATAGCAGTTGAAATCATTAAATTTCTAAGAGTGACACTCACTCTTGTTTATCGTCATGACAATATAAATGAATGTTTATCTAAAAAACTTAATCTTTTAAATGTAGTGATCGTGTGTTATTTTTAATATCGTGATTGATGGACTTTTTTATTAATTAGCTAGTTTGAATCAACATATAACAAATTTTGTTGTCAATCGTTATTAGAGTTTTTAAATTAATTTGTATAAATGCATAAATAAAAAGAGACCTAAACTATAAAATTTTTTTCATCTTTTGAAATCAAATAAATGACAAACACTATCTTTTAAAATAAATAATGATAATGATTATAACATTATTTTATCAAAACCGATAAGGTATATAAAATTCGTTTTCCTTTTCAAATCGATAATGAAGAAAAAAGTCTAATTGGTGAAAAGATGATATATACAAATCATGATTTTAGAAATCTGATATATACAAATCTTAGCATGCGGTTTCAAACAATTTAATAATATAATAGTAGGTTGAATGAATTATGATTCAGACTCATGCAAAGAAAATTTTGAACAGATTTCTAAAATCATGATATATACAAATCATGATTTTCCTTGGAGATTTATTCAGATTTCCAAATTGTTTGGAAATCACGATTTCTAAAGTCATGATTTATTCGAATTTACATTCGGAGTTCCAAATTGTTTGGAAAAATAAGAGATTTATTCGGATTTTGATTCCTTATTGGTTACCAATATAAAAGTATTTGATATTAATAAAAAAAGGGAAAAAACTGATTTACTATTTTTAGGAGATAATTAATGAAAGTGGCGAGAAATTGTTTCTAAATTTGATTTATGTTAATCCTTATTATATAGGATTAACATATATGTTAACATATAAGTAACATATATGTTACTTTCAAGTAAATACTAAAACTGGGGAGCCCAGCTCACCCGCTACAGAATATTGTCCGCTTTGGGTATACACCAGATCATTCCCTCACGGTTTTGCCTTTGGGAGTTAGCTCACCAAAACGCGTCCTGTAGGTTGAGGTATCCACAGCCACTTATATGGCATGCTTCGTTCTCCTCAACAACCGATGTGGGACATCTTTTACTAGACTCCACCCCCCTTGGAGGGCCCAACGTCCCCGCTGGCACACCAGTCCGGGTACTGGCTCTGATACCACTGGGGAGCCCAGCTCACCCGCTACAGAATATTGTCCGCTTTGGGTATACACCAGATCATTCCCTCACGGTTTTGCCTTTGGGAGCTAGCTCACCAAAACGCGTCCTGTAGGTTGAGGTGTCCACAGCCACTTATATGGCATGCTTCGTTCTCCTCAACAACCGATGTGAGACATCTTTTACTAGACTCCAATATATATAAATTATTTCTAACAATTATTAGAAATATGATCGATTCTTAAAAAGAATCTTTAATTGACAATTATTAATTAAATGTTTTATATTGTATTTTAAATTTTTTAAAAAATACGTATGGTAAGTGTATTTCTTAAATTAAGTGTATTAAGTATGGTAAGTGTATTTTTTAGATTTATTTTGATTTTGATTCCATATTTTGGTTCTATTCCTAAAAAAATGGATAAAAAGATATGCTAATAAATAGAGATTTTGTTAATTTACTATTTTTAGGCAATAATTAATGAAATTGGCGAGAAAGTGTTTCTAAAAGTGAATTATGTTAATCCTTATTATATATTAATAGATTAGCTAGTAATTATACATATAGATCTCCTCCAAACCATCGTTGTGTTTTTGTTGTTATATCATATATGTTATCTCCTTCAGCCCATCGTTGTGTTTTTGCGTTATTATCGGATATGTGAACAGTATTGCGCGCTAACACTGTAGAATATCTCTACAGGTTTTTTTTTTTTTTAATTTAATTTAGTTATGGTAAATCTTTGGTGTAATTTCATATAATCTTAGGTAAATATTTGTATAATGTGTATTGGTAAATGCTTTTATTATGTTAAATAACTTTGTGGTTTCTATGTAGTGATGTATTATTATTTTAGTTTGTAATTTTTTAATATCACAGTGCAATATGAATTAAAATTTATCACAAATATATTTCATTAAAAGAAATTATCACACAGTGGACCATTTTTTAAATTTTGCCATTTGAAATTTGACAATTTTTTTAACCATCGTGTACTTTTTCTTAATTTTACAATAAAATAAATAAATAAATTGTTGAGAGCCATAACATGATATATTCATCTTCTCTATATTTCATATTACCTTTATCCATCCACTTACCTTTATTCATCTTCTTTTGTTTGTGGTGCGTAGGGAAACTGTTTCAGTCCTCACACCATCACTTATTTGATCTCAGCCCCCATTAACAAATACATATTAAAAGATGCACATCATTTTCTTCATAAAATATAAATGTATTAATAACTAATAAAATATAAATGTGTTAATATCATTTTTTTTTTATTTTTTATTTTTTATGTAATTGAGTATGTATTTCTCTAAACTGCCAGTTTGTTTCCTCCTTACTTATGTAGATATATTTGCTGTCTAATGAACACCCAATATTTCACAATTATATAAAGCTATGTTAGCATTTTGGACAATATTATTATTATTATTATTATTATTATTATTATTATTATTTTTCTAGAATATAATCTGAAATTTAAATAAGCGCATCGCATTCAATTTAATATATAATTCGAGAATATCATGTCACAAAATTTGTTAATTTATTCAAGGAACAATTTGGTTGAAAATAAAAACGGACTTTAATTTTTCCCCAAAAAAAGAAAAAAAATAAAACACTAAAACAATTAATACTCTACAATAACTACTTCTGCTTATACTCAAAATAACTAGAGGCTGAAAATTTCTCCAGCAGCCAACAAATAATTGCATAAGCCTGAGGGATTGCGCAGTGCATGCAGTCTACGTAATTAATTTGCCTGAGGGATTGCGCAGTACATTGCACTCTACGTAATTAATTCATACAGTGATCCCTATCCATTTACACTCATCTTAATCCTTATTACAATATTACTCTATAGTTGATAGGATTACAATATTATTCCACAAATAAAAGGATAGACTACCGTTAATGAGATTACAATATTATTCATAAAGATGGATTGCAAATGACGGGTTCGGTTATTTATAGTCATCCTTCCTTTATCTATCTCATCCCTTCCTTTGATAATTATCTAGATCTATCTTATAGCTTCCTAACATCATCCTCCTATACTAGTATATGTACAATGTTCTTAGATTTATCCATATAATTTAGTTCCTACTACTACATGTTTCTACAAGTTTATTGTAGAATAAGAGATGTTGCATATTTTATTACTTTGCGGAACACACAACATAAATAATTATATGTTAACAAACGGCAGTTTAGATGGTGCCAAATTCATGTGTTTTGTTTTCATAATTCATACGTTTAAATTAAATTTAGGGGAACCAACAGGGGTTGGCTCCAGTGGCGGAGCTAGAAACAAAATTTAGGTGGGGCGAACCGCAGACAAAACTTTCTAACGACATCGTAACTAAGCACATCAATAGCTAATCTATGGCAAATTTAAGCATTGGTTGATGACAGTACCTCTCATTTGAAGATAGGAGTCCATTAATTCAAAAAAGACCAACCGAACAAGAAAAAATGTCCAAATGAAAGACCAAAATCCAACATTCCAAGAGCTAAGAAACCTGTAAATTTGAAAAAAAAATCAGTTAGTGACTTAATGTGCTATATATAATTATAATGTAATATAAACATATAATACAATTATGAGGAGACATACCACTACAGACTAGCCTAATATTAAAAATCTAATCATGTCTAGGTCTTTTTGGTGGCCTAGGCAAGTCAATACGTCGATTTCTGATGGCTTGAAATGTCTTCCTGATTTCACCTCCATCAAGGCCTCTAAAAATCTCCTTCTCAATGTAACAGAGTATCAAGTCATTAAGCCATTCATCGGTCATCCTATTGCGCAAATCTGTCTTGATTATATTCATAGCCGAAAAGGCTCTTTCAACAGTGGCAGTTGCGATATGTAGAAGTAATGCTAGCTTGATGAGTCGATAGACCAATTGAAAAGTGATGTCTCTTTCACTTTTAACCATCTGTATAGCCAAACTTCCAAAATCACGACAAGCCTTGAATTGTTCCTCTCTTCTCATATGAAGGATGAATGTCTCAAGTTATTCTCTTATATTAGAGCGATCCAAGTCAGAGAAATCTTCATAATATATTTCAGTTAATCGAGCAATCTTTTCAACATCAAACTTAGAAAAGGAGTCTCTTGGATCAAGACATGAGAAGCAAACAAGTAACTCTGATGATACCTCATTGAAGCGATGGTCCATCTCGGTGATAATAGCATCAATAGCAGCCAAGAAAGTATCAACACGGTAATGATGCTCTTGAGTGATTAAGTTACCATCTAGCCTTGATCGACCCCATCTAGGTATTGACTCATCTAGATTTGGTATTGGAATCATCTTTTCAGTGCAAAATGATTTGACTTCATCAAGCAATGGCTCCCAACCATCATTTCTCAAACTCATCAACCTTGTTTTCACATCAATAAGCAATGACATGGCCTGAACAATATTTTGATCCTTTCTTTGCAATAATTGAGATAACTCATTAGTAATGCGAAGCACCTTCAACATCAACTTCATATTCAAAACAAAGGAGAAGCTCTCTATCTTGTGCACCAAACCACCCGCTCGGCTAGTATTACGCTCATCTTCGTGAATCATGGACAACACTTTAACCACAGAATTCCACATCATCTCAATACGAGCTAAGGTTGTTAAATGAGAACCCCACCTTGTTTCTCCAGCTCTAACTAAATTAGTCCTTTGATGCTTTCCCTTTCCAGAAAAAATTTCACCACTCTCCAATTTTTGCAAAATTTCTTCCCTATGTTTTGTAATTAGCTTATCCTTTCTTTTACAAGATGAACTAGCACTTGTCACAATCAAACTAACATAGTTGAATAAATCATCAAAGGATGAACAACTAGATGTGACAGAAACAATTACCAATTGCAATTGGTGGGCAAAGCAGTGAACATAGAAAGCATAAGGGTTCATATCACGGATTTGCTTTTGTAGACCATTGAATTCTCCTCTCATATTTGAGGCTCCATCATATCCTTGTCCCCTTATCCTAGCAACAGATAATCCATACTTAGCAAGCATCTCAAGCAAAGATTTTTTTAGTGCATTTGAAGTTGTGTCCTCCACATGCTTGAGACCCAAGAACCTTTCAACAACCATTCCATCTTTGTTCACAAACCTGCAGGACAAGGTACAGTAAGGTTATACATAAAAATAATCACAATGACAATACTGACTTATGAGAAATACATCAACTAACCTCACAATCACAGCCATTTGCTCTGCTATTGAGATATCACGAGATTCATCAATGAGAACAGAGAAAAGATTATCCCCAATCTCATCCTTTATCACTTTACTAATCTCTTTTGCACAACTTTCTGTAAGATCCTTTTGAATCTGGTGAGAAGTCGTCTTAGCATTTTGTGGACAGTAATCATCAAATGCAGCCCTCACCTCACTGTTCCTTTTCTTGTACCAATCAAGCATCTCTGAAAAATTCCCTTTATTTAAGGATGTTGCAGATTCATCGTGTCCACGAAATGCATGACCTTGGGCAATGAGAAATCTTGCAATGTCTAAAGCTGCAGTCACTCTGACCTCATATCTCTTCTCAGCATCTATAGTATTGGACTGAAAATTACGTGAGATACTTGTCCTTTGATTACGGAAGTCATCAGCACATTTTCTTGCCTTGTTGTGGCAGCCATTAACAGCCCGGCAATGAACTGGGAATCCTCTATTCGCTGCATTCCTCCAATTATCATAGCCAGTCTTACTAAAAACTACATGACCAAATTTTTCATGCTCTGCTTCTCGCCTAAATAAAAAGCAATAGAAACAATAGGCTGCATCCTTTGAAACACTATATTCCAACCAATCATAATCATTAAACCATGCTGCTCGGAAACATCTACCATTTATTTTTGGAAATGCATGACCTCTAGGTTGGGTTGGACCATTCAACAAATAAGCCCTCTTAACCTCATCTCTAATGTCAGGGTGAAATCTATCAATTGCTATTCGACATCCAGGATCAGCAATAACATGAAGATTTGCATCAAATTCCCTAATGAGATCAGTACCCAGAGGACAGTCAGTACCTACACTTTCTTGTGTTTCTGCTTGCTCTGCTTGGGCTTCTGTAGATGCTTGCTCTGCTTGGGCATCTGCTTGTTCTGCAGTTGATTCAACTTGAGAAACTACAACTATTTCTT